ATATTGAAAATAAATGGTTCAAACTCTACATAATCATATATTTTTACATAAATTTAATGTTCAACATACTTTAACCCTTTCAGAATGGGCTCGGTCATCGGATTGACCTCATAACGATTTTATGGTTGTTATACTTTTCATGTTATAACTATTAAGTTAGTGAGTGTATGTTAACGAAATTTGGCAGATTATCAGTTAACATTACAATGCTTTATATACACAGAATATTATTTTTTTATTATTAATTCTTAAAGTCTATTAAGAAATGTTTTTCTCATACCTTTATTTATTTATTTTCGCACTTTGCCTATCCAACATGTAAAGTAATTTTCATTTTAAAATTAAAAATATTGTTATGTATCAGAAAATTTTCAAATTTCACCTGCAAATTGTTTATAGTGTCCAGATAGTTATCAAATATTTCTTAAGGAAAAAATTTTATATTTTATCTGTTATTTTCACTAATGAATCTCTATGGGTTTAATAGATTTGGCCGATCTCGTAACCAACATAAAAAATTAGGAAATAAATATAAATTATGTTTCTTTCATTCTAGAATGATGACAAATTATAACACGAACACATAAATCTTTAGACTAAATAGCTTAAATCTCATAATATTATACATTTATATATAATTATTATTTTTATTATATTGACCTTTCAGAGGTGCATGTCTAACATTACATAAGTTGTAATGCACTCATGTTACCATATCCAATGATATAAAATTGACCTGTAGTCTTTACAAAGTGACCCTGTCTTAGCTGTGTTTTAGTAGGCTAGTATTTAGTAAAATACAGTAACATTTCAATTATTATACATTATATATATATAGATAAATAGATAGATTATTATTATTTAGAAATAAGTTATTAAACTTATTTTTCTTAAAACATTGAGTCAAAGAATTATCTCTTCAATTTTTTTTAGGTTTTATGTATACAGTTGAATAGCCAAAAAATCATAAATTATTATATCAATATCACAGAATTCCACGATAATTTATCAAGCTTAATAACAAAGGTGTACTGCATAGCCAGGTGGTTAGGATGCTCGACTCCCAATCTGAGGGTTGCAGGTTCGAATCCCTGTTTTAACGTTATTAAATCTGGACAATGTGATGCAAGCATATGTGGAAGTTTAATGTCCACCATTGTAAAAATCGTGTAAGATAAAAGTATCATGTGTAAAATGAAATATTTCGTCATGTTATATTGATATCATAAAGTCAAACTAGTGAAAATGTAAGTTTTAATTATTGCATGATATTTAAATAAAGGTCCTTTTTAAGACGATTTAAATATAAGAGGTCAAGAGATATATAGAACTAATGAATTAGTGTTTAATACCGACTTTATTAATTATGATAATGTTGAGACACGTTAATACATGACATCTACATAGGCAGCCTAGCAAAGCATCACGAGCAACGCACCCTCTGGTGACATTTTGTGGAACTAAGACGTTATCGTCTTTGGTGGCATCATCGTATCTCCCATTCCCTCCCTTTCCGATGTCAACACGCGTGTAGCACCCTCTGGCGGCGTGTCGGGCAAGTGCGGGGATAACTATTAAAGATTAATGCAACTAAACTCTCTATCTATATTTAAGTCAACAGTATATAATAGAAGAATTAACACTACAATACCTGTACCTACTTTTTAAATCAACAATATATAATAGAAGGATTAACATTATTCAGACACGACCTACTTTATAAATTAACACTATATAATCAAAGATTAACACTTCTAAATCCCCCATCTAATTCTAAGTCATCACTATGTAATAGAAGAATTAACGCTATAAAGCAGTTCACTTACTTTTAAAATGAACACTACTTAATAGTAAAATTAACGTTAGAATCCCCACCTACTTTTTAAATTAGCGGTAAATAATGGGAGGATTAACGTTATAAGGCCCAACCTGCTTTTTAAATTTACTCTATGTAATCGAAAGATTAACGCAACTAAAACCTTTATCTACTTTTAAGTCAACATTATATAATAGAAGAATTAATGTTACAATACCTGTACTTTTTTTTAAATCAATATTATGTAAGAAAAAGATTAACTTTACTAAAGCACGATCTACTTTTTAAATTAACACTTTATGATATAAAGATTAACACTATAGTACCCCAACCCACATTTTGAAAAACAGTATATACAGAAGGATTAGCCTTACCAAAGCACTACCTATGTTTTAAATTAATGCTAGATATTAGAATGATCAATGCTATGGTACCTCCTCCTACTTTTAAATTATTGCTATATAATAAAAGGATTAACGATATTAAAGTTATCATATACTTTTAAATCAACACTCTATAAGACAATAATTAATGTTATAACACGCTAAACTACTTTCTAAATTAACATTATATAATAGAAGGATTAACCTTACTACAGCGCCACCTACTTTTGAAAATAACACTACTATAAAATGATTGATGCTATAAAGTCTCCACTTACTCTTTAGATTAACGCCATATAATCTATATATTTAACACTGTCGCGAAATAAATTCCTGCCATATTTTTAAATTAAAGATGCATAATCTATAACTAAAGATTAACACAGCTAAAGCCTTCATCTACTTTTAACTCAACAGTATATAATATAAAAATTAAAGATCAGTACCTGCAATTACTTTTTAAATCAACTTTATGTAACAGAAGAATTAACGCTATAATATACCAACCTACTTTTAAAACAATATACAATAGAAGGATTAACATTAAAACACTTTTTTGAAAAGCTGAGGTAGAAAATTAAAATTGCAAAAAAAAAAAGATTAAAACTCCATTCTTGAAATTCGCACACAAAACCAAACCAACAAATATAAATATTTGAGCATTCAAATAATTACTCAAAAACTCCCTTGTCGTGCCTATATGATATCATCACCTCTGGTAACCATTTACACCCACTGTAAGCAGTTAATTAGTATTGGGAAGTTAAATTTATGTAGCCAAGCATGCTGCCATCTAGAAATGACATAGGAAAACATCTGAACAAGAAATATTCTGAATGAAAAATATAATACAATTTAAATAAAATGATTTCTGCCTCATAACAAGTGAAATACAATTCGTAACAACAATGGATATGGCTACTACCACTAATGGTTTTGGATACTTAATTATAAAATTATTCAAAATATTATATTCTATCTTTGTGCTGATATGTTGTCAATATCGTTTCTCTGATGTAGAAAGTTTGAGACAAACGACACTTTAGCATCTTTCTCGAGAATAAACTGAATTGTCCTGGAACCTGGACTTCCAGAACGAGTCCTTTAAAGGCTAGAATATGGAGTTACGAACAACAAACCACATAAAACCTGTATCCAGTCTGATAAAACGCGACAGAAGCATGGTCATTTCCGATTACTGGGTATGATATTTATAATAAGGTGCAAACCCGAGAAAATTTGTTAACAATCTTCAATCAGGAATGATACGAAGAGTCAATGATAGGACTTGAAACCCCAAAAGCTGTGAACTTCCCATCTTTTTGTGGGAAGTGGTTTTTCTATTTCCATTTTGTTTGGATTTGTGGGGACTTCATCTCTGTATTCTGTATACCTGCATTACCATAATTTATCTTTCTTTTCTTTTTTTAAGATTGATTTTGGCCCAGCTGATTTCACCCTTTTGAAGACTAGTGTCAGAGTTTCTGTGGTTATTTCATTGGTCTTTCGAATACCATGAATGTTGTCTATATGATAATCCAACGTCTACTGAAAATTATAAAATGATATCTAGTTTCGGAGAATTCCACTCCTCATCAGTGACCCTGGACACGACCACCACCGAATGAAACTTCAGACCAACCCAAGCCTTTATAGTAGTGAGGTATCGAAAATCGAAATGAAGTCTGGCCCACAGACACCCCCCCCCCATGAAATAATAGACCATTCCTAGCTTTTACTTGTTAAACAAATAGTTTAAACAACTCTGTATGTGTCAGCTGCCTAGTGTCGGCTAAAAATACGAAGAATTGAATTATGGCGGAATGCTACAAGTTCTTCAAATACCTATAGAATGATAGGTTTCTTTTTTGCAAGTGTAAAACACTTAAACCCCCATTTCGATTTTTGATACCTCACTACTATGAAGGCTTGGTTTGGTCTGAAGTTTTATTCGTTAGTCGTGTCCAAGGTCGCTGGTTAGGAGTGGAATTCTCCGAAATTACCCACCCCAATGAAAGAATAGACCCTTCTTGTTGTAAAACAAATGTTTAAACAATTCTGTTCAACTAGAATAGATAATGCTCTGTTTTAAAAGAAATCTGTATAGTGCTAAAAGTATAAAGTAAACATAACTTTAATATGGTACTCTGCCCCCCCCCCCCAAGTGGCACAGCGAGCGGTATGTCTGCTGACTTACAACGCTGTAATCTGTGTTTCGATGCCCGTGGTGGGCAGAACACAGATAGCCCATTGTGTAGCTTTGTGCTTAATTACAAACAATATGGTAATCTTGATCTTAGAATTTGTGAGCTACATTCCACCGCGATGCACATTATAAAACTTTTAGACTAAATTTTTATAATTTAAAGTTGTAGTTTTAAAAAAGAAAATATATCCAAACGCTTTCTCTGTCTACAAAATGAAATACCAAACAAATTCATAAAAATCTATCCACACATAGTTCGTCACTCGCTCGGAGTTATAGAATAATTATTTATTGACAGGAAGTGTGCAACAACCGGTTTTTGGTATGAGTAAATAATAACTGGGTGAGTTGTAAGTGTTCATCCAAGTTTATTTTTTTACATTTTTGCAATGTTAAATGAAACCAATGTAAGAAATTGAAGTCGCAATTTTATAATATGTTCTTTTAAATTGCACGAATAAGCACAATTAACTGAAAGTTGAAATATACTCCTAGTTATTTATTTGGCGGATTAACACACTGAGTGTAGTAGTTGTTAGTTAAAATATTCAAAATAGTCCTAGTGTAGGTTTTAAAAAATCGTTTGTAACGTTTTTAATGTTAATAGTATATAATACTCCTTAGTATTACGAGATGTTAGATTTGAGCAATATGATATTTGTGTTTGCTATTTTGACTTACTGGATGTCAGGTAACAAAGGTATTTTTAGTACTGATAATTAAAAACATTATTAGGAAGCTTTTTTTTAGCGAAGTATTAATAATAATAACACTATGGTTACTAAGTAACTCGGTACTTTTATTTTAAATTGAAGGGAAATTTTAGGCTTAATATTAACGCAACTTTACAACCCAAACAGTGTAAACAGTAAAGTAGTAGTAGTATTACCAGTACTAGTAGTAACAGTTAGTTAGCATTTCATGTAATCTATTCGGTTTAGCCTTAGAAGTTAGGGTATTTTATGATATTATATACCTTTGCAACTTGTGTTTAAAACTATCACAGTTAACACTGAACTGAAAAAAAAAAGATTCTAAAATACCAAAATAGGTATTTTTTTTGAATTTAGTGTTAGTCTTGGCATTATATTTACATTCCTTGTGTGTTGTAATTTAATGATAACAGGTTGGAACCATGTTGGACCTAAAATGTGTTTGCTGTAATCGTCTTGACTTCAGAATTTAAATTACTAGCATTTTTGTAGTGATAAAGCACCAGGAATAGAAGTTAGCCTAAACTTTGGGCCGTGAATATGATTTTATCAACTTTATTTGTCAAGCAAAAATTAGATGCGAGGCCCTAATATTGGGCTAGTTTTTAGAAGTGAGAATAACAGAAATTGATACCAGTATATCGTAGACCCTAATGTAGGGCCTAATAAAGTCCTTAGTATGATTAAAAAAAAACTTGGTGCCATAATTCTGGGCCATGAGTAGGAATGATAAGAAATTAATTAAACAGGACCTTTATAATTTTACTTGGGTTAACCTATATTATTATATTTGTGGTATTAAATCTAAAATTTCAATCATTTGATGTCTCAAATATGAAGGAAAATGAAAGTAGTTAAACTAAAAATAATTTATCTGTAACTGAATTAAAGAACTAGTTTGATGTACTTTGTCTCAGGCAGTATCTTTATTGATGTATCTTGGTTCAGGTAGTATATTGATAGAATTGTTTAATTAGGGAGGTGGCTATAATTCAGTTTTGCATGTGAGAACAACATTGTTAGATGTAGAAACTAGTGAAATATGCCTTTTTATAAGTTATTTTTCTTTTAATTTGAAGCCAATACTTATGTTTTGTGACTTTCAAAAAAAAAAAAGTATTTGCATAGCTATTTGTGTCATTAGACATGTACCTATGAAGATAAAATTACTGTGAAAATCTTATACCCTTAATAACTTTGTGCTTGCTGTAAGTAATTGTTTTTAATGGGTTATATAACTTGTATTACATTGTAAACATTGTAGATTTTATTTTAGTATTTTTATTAACTTAGGATATCACTTTGAAATGGACATGAGAGTTCATGCTCATCATCCAAAAATGAATGTTACAGTTCAGTCACCATTAGTAAGTTTAGTCATGGTCATCTTTACGTTGTCTTGCAAAATGTTCAGGAAACCTTGACTATTGAAAACAGTACATCTTTTACCTTGATCAGTAAACTGTGAAAGTTTATATGAACTTAATTTTTTTTTTTTTATTGATATTTAGATATTGTACTTCCTGTGTTTACAAATTTCAGTCAGGCTTGACCTTATCTCTTAATTTAAAGTTTCTTTTGTTTATCCACATTTCTAGGGATTGCTACAGGTTTGATTTGGGTATGCTAGTTGGCTGATTTTGGTGATATGGAACCACCATACAGCTACTTGAAATATATGTAGTCAGTGTTTGAATATAATTTCTAATGATATTTACATGAGTGATATAGTGTTGAAGTTTTTAGATATTTCATAAAATGACTTTTTATGAATTAAAATAATAGTATATAGTTAATTATTTCTGTATAAGATAAATCTGGAGATTAACAACCTGAACTATAGTAATTGAGCTGGTTTGAGGGTCTAATAACTTATTTTTCAGTGTGGATGAACATAAACATTTTGCATTTTGTTTAGCAATACATATTCATTATTTGGACTTTTACATATATGTTTCAAATTACAAGTTCTGTGCAAGAAAAGGATCTTTTTTTTTTTTCTTTCTTGCATGGTAAGAAACTAAGATTATTTAGCTTAACTTAATTCAGAAATTGGATACTTAATGTATGAGTGCAGTATTTATCATGTTTCCTCATGTTTTGTAATTTGAGTATCAATGTACGTTACATTTTTTATCAATATATTTAATGACATGAACAAAATATTTCTGAATGTAATTGTTAGTTGTCATTTTAGTCATTAAAAGTTTTTGACTATACTGTACATCCATTTTTTTACATTGTTCATAATATTAATGTATTTAATGCTACCTGATTTATTTACAGTTGATGCCCAACAGAACCCAGTTATTTCCTACATCACTAAAGAGAGAGTAGTTAACATAGGAGATAATGTTGACCTACAGTGCTCTGTTCAGTATGCATCAAATTATCCTGTAAGTGTTTTAATCATACCATAAGTGGGGGACCTGTTTACTCTTGGCATAATTTTCTAACAGCTGGTAGAAGCAATAAAAGTGCCTGCTAATTCTTTTCTGAATAAAAAATGTCTAATAAAGCATGTAGAAATTGAGTTTAATTCATTAAAGTGACATCTATAAGAATTGCATAAATTTGTATCTGAAAATTGAATATCTAAACATCCTAGAATTATTTATGTTACTCTGTGCATGTTTGTTTAACTCTCTCTCAACACAAGCTTGGTCAATTTGACCAACCACATGACCTCTTTCTACCCATTTAAAGTCTTTATAGATTTAATACTTATAACTCAATATAGTGTGTGTGTGTGTGTGTGTGTGTGTGTGTGTATATATATATATATATATATATATATATA